TCATGAGTGGTAATAAGCTTATGGAGGGGTCTACCATCTATGGCCTCAACAGCCAAAGGTGTGAGGTATCTGATGTTGAGCAACAAAATGTGTGTCTATGAAATTCTCTGAGCTCTAGAATCTACTAGAGCTTTGCAAGATATTTCAAGAAAACTCCAAGTGATCGTAACAGAATGGATAAGTCTATTTTGAGGCATAGCAGGGGACATATTCATAACACCTAAGGCTGCTCCCCTGATGATTCTTAGGTGCACAAGTTTTCCGGAGAGACTGGGAAAGATCCACGACGATGTCCCTTTTTACCACATAAAGGCCCTGATTTTTCCAATGTTGTTTCTCAGCCTCAGTCAATTCCATTACTCGTAGTTGCATGGGTTCTGGTTCAGAAACAACTGGAGGAGAAGGTGGAGTGAAACAAATAGCATGTGGAAGAGAAGTGTGTTTTGCTCTATTACAGATTCTCTCTGTCTCTCTATTATTTATTTTCTGTTATCTATGTATATCATGCACTTAATATAGTCCTCCAACATCTCTGGTAAATCATTTGCTGCTGTCTCATCGAGGAGTGTGTCAGGAAGACCCTAGAAAAATTAGAAACCCAAGAGCATTTTAGTCCAGTCCACCTATGCTGCAAGAGCATGAAAAGTGCCTTGCTTAATACACATCAATGTTGTTGCGGCATTCTTCTATTTACCTAACGGTGCCAAAGTGCTAATAAAATTCATTGTGACCTTCTACTTTCCCATAAAGGCTTGATCCATGCAAGAGTCTTGCTAGTTATCTGATTAATTAAGTACCCAATCTTAGCCCTATCTGCAGGAAACTACCTAGGAGAAGCTTTAAAGTGGTTCTCAATTTGATTCACGAATCCTCTGAATTCAAGCAAACCACCACCGAAATGAGGAGGAGTAGACAAGCTGACAGAGGGGTGTTATCACACAGCGACAACAGCCTAGTGATGAGAATGTACAACAGCATGTGCCTCAGGTTGTAGATGAGCAGTGCAATTTAATAAGGTTTGAATGGCTTGAGAAAACTGATCCATACGATGATCAAGTTACTTAACCTTAGCTTCTTAAAGTTGTGCTAAAAAGTTTGCATACCCTGCAATGTGAAATTTTGGCATTGATTTTAAAAATATGACTAATCATGAAAAAAATATATTTTATTGAAGGATAGTGATCATATGAAGCCATTTATTATCACACAGTTGTTTGTCTTCTTTTTTAAATCATAATGATAACAGAAATCACCCAAATGGCCCTGATCAAAAGTTTACATACCCTAGAATGTCTTGCCTTGTTACAGACACACAAGTTGACACACACAGGTTTAAATGGAAATGAAAGGTTAATTTCTGTGACAGACCGCCTGGCCAATCGATGCTCCTAGTGCTCACTGAGGACTCCAAGCACTCCACAAGACACCATAAGCACCATAGACCCCATGAACTGCCGCAGCCTGGTTGGGGTCTCGCCGGCCTCCACTCACCCTGGACCCAAGACCAGGATCCAGCTTCCAGTGGGTGAACCTCCGAATGGAGAATAATCAAATAGCAAACCAATGTAAGAAAAGCCTATGAGCATAACAAGGAAAAATGCACTCTCTAAAATAAAACCATGACAGGGTACAGTAGTACAGCTAATAAGGTTATATATAGCTTTAAGTGGGCAGAGGATTGGTTGATGTGACCCTTATGACATCATGGCATGCAAGCGCGTCATCGGTGTGATGACGCACGCACATCCTAGTCATCAACCTGGCCTGAGGCAGTGGAGCCATAAAAAGGATGTGATATGCAAAGGCCGGTGTCAGACTGGACGCCAAAAGGAAGCATTACTTGTGGTAAGTATATCAAGCACATAGGGACATGCCTCCAATATTCATGCTTGGCAGGTGCTGTGACACCTCCTATGACTGATAGTAAAATTGCAGAAAGTGTTACACAGTGTGCATCACTCAGTGCTGTCCCTGCTCCTCCTGCAAAGCATTATCATTTCCTATGTGTGAGACTGTTAGTGAGTATAAGTCTAGGAGGTGGAGGTCTAGGAGGTCATCATGCAGCCCCGGGTGTGTTCGCAGCTGGCATGATGTGTGAAGTTGGTCACTGCATGCTGGAGCTAATTAAAGGTTCCACTACTGCAGGCCAGATCGATGACACAGACATGCAGGCGTCATCTCGTTTACGTTTAGGACTTTTCATTCACTAATTCTTTAGTGCCCTGTCGTGGTTTCCACTTGTTGACTATCAGAGAGCGCATCCATCTTGCTTTCCTATTGATATGCTGACTTTATCTTGTTCTTGAATATCCATCATTCTGGTATCCTTTACCTTTTGGCTTGTCTTCTCATTCATGTCTCTTTCTGTGTCCCTGACCTCGGCTTGTTCCTGACCTCTAGGCTGGTACCTACTCAGCCTAATTGAAAATCCATTCCTGAAAACAGGGCAGACTTTGGAAATGATCTTGAGAAACGCACTTAATCAACAGCAAATAACTTGACAAGAGTCCCCTGCTTCTACCTTTACCTTGAATATGAGGTGGTGAGTAATCATATTAGGGCAGGAAGCTCTGTATGTCGTTGGTGGAGGGTAATTTAAACATGACACTTTAAGGGATCCATTCCCCCCAAGCAATTATCATTAGGGCATGCCCCTATACACTATATCTAGGCCTCTGGCTATTTAATAAATAAATGAACCATTTGAGTGCTCTGAATTACTGTTTTGAGAGATTTCTCTATAAAATACCTCTTCCCTTAACCTTGAATGACTGGCATTATGCAGTTTCAATAACATGGATGGTAGTCTATATGTAATGCATCTCCTTCTAGATCTGTATCAGCCAATCATAATACAAGTTCAGGCCTCTTGTCTCAAACAGGGCAAAGAGGTTTTTTAGACCCTGTATATCCATATTTAGCAACCAAACCAACCAAAAATGTGTTCTTGTGGGTAGTGTTGAAATGTAAACCTCCCGATAATTTTATTTATTTTCTGCCAATGGTATGATAAATTGACATTACTTTTTTTTTTTAGGTTAGTAACTAAATCAGAGAGGACACTTATTGCGAAATATATTGCGATAGTCAGAAAAAACTAAAACGAGGAGTGAAAACTAAACATAATTGATTCAGCTGAGCAACAAATTGAGCAAACTATTTATGTTTATTTGGTTAAATACACTGTTACAACACCAGCAGTAAGAATAGGTTTGATGTTTACATTTTGAAGAGGTTTTTTTTTTTTAATTGATAGTGTAATTATTAAAAACATGTTCTTGGCAGTCTTTTAATGAGAAAGACAGGCACTTGAGAACATTGTGTATTGCTTGGTGATTTGCATTTACTACATTTAACTGAGTGAGGTAATTTTCCTGAGGATGAGGTAAGTGACTGGCCGGCCTGAGAGCTGAGCGAGGTTACCATGTGATCATTCATGTAAACATAAATACTATTCCCAGGGCACAATAAGAGACAGCTGTGTCTGTTGTTGTGCTGCTTTCGCAGCCTGGTACAGAATGCCCCTTGGGTGTTGAGCCACAGTCACTCAGACTGTCTAGCTTTTTAAAGGGGCCTCATTTCCAAATCTTTGTCCCATATTACTTGGACCTTTGTCACATATTAGATAGTCATGTTCCCAATAACCATGAAAAAGATGATAGGACATCCATTAGATGGCATTTATTATTATTATTATTTTATTTTATTATTTATATAGCGCCATCAGATTCCGTAGCGCTGTACAGTGGGTCCAGTTATTAAGTGTTCTTGCATAGCAAGACCACTTAATGTTATCTCACATATATATTATTCTTATTCCTATTAATGCCAAATTTACCACCCTAACTAATCCCACAGTATTTTTTTTTTTTAATTCTTTTTTTTTATTTGTGCATAGTGTGAACAATCATGTTTGCACTGCCACGATAGCTGGTGCAAGCAAGTATGGAAACAAACAATAACATAGGTATGGCATTGAAATACATAGCACAGTTTTTTTGTTTTTTTTTATATATATTCAAGACAGAAAGTAAAACAGGAGGTTAATGCATGAGAAACATACGTTTATACAATGGTTACATGCACTCTCGAGCATAACGGCCTCTTTTTTATAAAAGTTTCAACTGCGGTATTATACAGGCTAAACAAGTTATGTATGCGAAGTACTAAAGGTTCACTTAGCTAAGTCAGATTCAAATCTGGACGTTACCTCGCTGGTATGTCTAAGCATGGAAATGGGTAGCAATGGCCAGTCATCAGGCTAGTTTATCAACGCTGATTTGGCCCTCCGCTTATGTGGTGCGGTGTATTTGAGTAAGTTGCAAACACTCTAACATGCTAGACTAGGTATGTGTACAATAAAAGTTGTTGCTCTTAAGCGTGTATGATTATGCTAAGTATATTAATAGACAGGCTAGTCACGATTGTCAAATGAGAAGTCTTAGAAGTTAAACATTAATGCAGGCATAGAACGGTAAACGATATACGACAAAGACCTTACTCCGTAGTCGTTAGCCCTGTAACAAGGTCAATAGGCCAGATTAAGTTTTGTAAGGCTCATACATTGCATATGCATTTCGTTTAATAATTATAGGTAAGTGAGTTAGGTCGATGCAAGTCGTGAGTAACATAGTTGTTTTCTAGATTAAATGCCTGAAATAGAAACCTGGATTTAGACATATTAACACATGTTATAGTTTAAACTGAGAACAGATTCTTTGTAAAATTTGCTTATCTGAGGGAGTCCAGGGTTAGGTACGACGTCCGTGTAGGTAGAAGCGATAGGCGTCCCGGTGAAGTGTAAGGTAGGCAGCAGGGTAGCAAAGGTTAGTAGACTGCGAGCTTGTGGTACAGATGAGCATTAAGCCCACTCCACAGGGTGGAATGGTGTTGTAACATACGAGAGCCAGTCCATCAGGATGAGGGTGGAGACCTTCCTGACCTCGCACTTGGTTGGGGGGCTGCCTAGCTTCCCCTGTATGCCTGCTTTGACCAGCTGGTCACTTGGCCCTCCATGCTGTGATTCTCCTCCTGCACCTTCTGATTCCAGGTCGCTTGAGTGCCACTTGTCTTCGGCCCGAGGCTTTGACGGGGGCCCGTACCACATTTCCATTGACCCCATCATCAGGGTCATGGGCCCAGGGTTCCACCGGGTCCCGGCTATTTCCTTGGGTATATGGGTGGTGGCGGAGAGCTACATCCTGGTGAGCTCCCAGCTCGGAAGAAGAGTGAGGTTGGACACTGGGTGTGTGGAGGGCTCGCAGCACTCTGTGGCCCAGCTCCGGTGCTGGCTTTCCTCTCGTGCGTTTGCTTGTTGGCGGGGGACATTTTCTTCTGCGGCGCCGTCTTGGGGCACTGTGTAGCCGAGGAGTAAGTAGCTTGGGGCTAGGTTGCTTGGGGTTCATGTGTGCACTCGGTTTGCGCTGCCGTGCCCGGTTCTCCAGCTTTGCCCAGAAGGCTGTAAAAATAGTGTTAAGCCTGGCTGAGTAGTCCGGCATTTCCGTGTGGCAGTCTGTTGTTTCGCCTGATGTGCTTGTCGCCGCCGCCATTTTGGGTTCGCCACGTGCTCGGCTGCCCTGGTGCTGCGGTTCACCGAGCTGTGAGTTCAGCCCGTGACTGCTTCTCCAGTCGCTGAATGTGGACCGAGATGACCCCCATCGGTCCGGAGGGGGGGGTTGGAGGTGAGAGCCCTGAGGGGAGCCATGTCCAGGTCAGTCAGCACGGGGAGCGGCTGTCTCCCCAGTGCTCGATCTCCGGTAGGCCTCAGGGTATGTTGTCGGGTTCCCTGGGGGGTTACAGACTTGATTTCGGTATCGGGTAGTTCCCCCGGGTGTCCCCGTCATGATAGCTTATCTTCAGTGTGCGATTGTGCCGTGTTTTACATAGACAGTAATATACCGAAATGTGCGGATTGTTCCCGATCGGATTGCTATTACTTTGTGGAACGTTTCGCCGAATGGTTCACGGAATATCGTAGTTCTTGTGGCGAAATTGGTCCCATAGGAATGAATGGCAAAATGTTCAAAACTAGAGTGGGAGCTGGCAAAAGCTGAAAAATCAGGACATGATTTCTAAACTACCACCACTCCCTCATGTTCAAACCTGCCTACACAAATCTTATATCAAAACGTTCAGCTATCCCTGCTGCCACTAAAAATGTCCACGGCTAAGCCATAGTCCTCATAGTTTTCACAATATGACCATTTGTTTGCAACTCACGCCGTCCATTGACATTCATTGAAACTCCACTCTAGCCAGCTCAAACTTGAAGGGCAATTTCTAAACTGTGACTGTGCTTTCATTTTTAATACTTCAGAGACATACTAGGTATCAAAATGTAGGTCTGGGTCTTGTGATTCTCACAATATAAAGCTCTTCGCTGTAGGATGTATAGTTTACGACCGTTTGAAGATGGCAACCGCCAAAATACTCTGACCTGTGCCAGGCTGAAGCAGCAAGTGATGTCATAGACAGGGCCTTTTGTACCTGCTAATGTTTTTATAAATGTATGTTTTAATGTAACTATGAAGCACGTTGGGCAACAATGTTGCAATTAAATGTGCGATATAAATAAATAAAAGTAGAAATGCATTTCTCACTCTATCAATATCGGCAATATCGGTATCTTTAGTGGCCGATACCAATATTGCCGAAAATACCAAATATCGGCCGATAATATCGTTAAAACTGATAATCGCTCGATCCCTAGTTGTAGACTAATGGTGGAGGCAAGAACACTTCACACAATTTCCCCAGAAATTGTAGCTTTTCTAGGTTGTACTATAATTACAGCCAAACTGTTCAGAGACTGCAACTGCAGCATCGGATTGTCTATATTCTAACAGCAAAAGCAATTTATATGTGACTAATGTTTTTTTTAAACAAATATTGAAAAACTTTAAAGAGTATGATAATGAATACAGTGCCCTACTGCATAAGTATTCACCCCTTTGGGTTTCCCACCTGCTGTAATTCATCATATTACAAAGGATTTCATTGGGATTTTTACGATTTACATAAAATTTACATCATTTATTGAGGTTTCATTGCAAAGAAAATGAATGCTTATACAACAACATGTTTGTTTAGTTTTTTTTTAACGTAATTTATGTTTCTGTCACAATAACATAGTGTTATGTTTGCTGTGTAAGACAAACAGTAGGAATCTCATTCCATTTTAAAGACAAGTTGTGACACTACAATTTGGAAACATCCAGGGGGTGAATACTTATACAAAACAATGTATTTAGCAGTAATGTCAGCTGACTTCACATATATCCTGATGTATTTCGATTGACTCCTTCCCCATAGGGAATTTCATTTAGTGTGTAGAACAATTACATTTACAATCTCTGCATTATTCTATACATAATTGTATTCATAGAATGCAAAGCACATTAAAGAATATTGCTACCCTTTACTCAAAATATCTGAATGTATAGGTAAAATATGTACCTCAATAAAGTTATCTCTGTTTATGTATGGCTACATTTCCTATTCCACTAACTTAGCATGATGGCAAACTGTCCACAAAAGCTTACGTACTAAAGAATAATCAATAAATGTCACGGCAGATAGGTTGCAATCGAGAAGAAGAAAAAAAGTAACTCACCATTTCTCTTTTAATGTTCTCTGGTGACATGCAAGAATGAAAAATTCCATAAGCCAGTGATCTTAAAGTGTGTAGAGTTAAAGGGGTACTCTAAAAAAAAACAACAACAACTTTATCTTAACAAACCTTTTTCAGTGTATAGATCATGCCGTTGCAGACTAACTGTTCAATTCTCTGCTGTTTAGGAGTTTAATTACTTTTGTTTCTGTTTCTGCAGCCCTAACCACATATCCTCTGCTGGTGACTTACACAGCCTCCTTACACACTTCCTTAAAGATAGTTACTTTTTAATTGTTTAATTTAAAGGAACACTATAGGGTCAGTAGTACAAACATGTATTTCGCTTGCCACTATAAATATGTCTAAAACTCACCTTATTTTTAGTGCCACAAGAGTCTGCCGGTGCTGGCTCTGCCCCCTATCCTCCTCCTTGGCTGACATCATCAGAACAATGCTTTCCCATAGGAGCTGGAGTGGAAGCGAGGACAAATGCTTCCCTAGCCAATCACCATCTCCTCATAGAGATGCATTGAATCAGTGCATCTTTATGGGGAGCGTTCAGCGTCTCCACACAGAGAGTGGGATAAGTGAATGGCACTGCTGCACAGTAATGCTGTTGTAATCCACGTCAACGCTATGATTGGCCAGATCCCGTGAGACACATGGTCCACAGTACATTGCAGAGATGCAGACCAGCGGCAACAGGCGCCCTCCACCCAACACAGTCTGCCCTAAGGTGGGTTATGCGGCCGCGAGGCCTTAGATGGCCGCCTAAACCTAGTAATTAGAGAGCTGCCTCTGCCATTTGGGAACAGATCTCTTGTGTTCCCAAAAGTGGGAATACATCTATCATTATCGTTGCATCATTTACTATTTACTATTTGTTTTAGAAAATACTAGAATTTCCACCAACACATTCAAAAAGACAACTTAGAACTACATACAGTATTTCACAAAAGTGAGTACACTCCTCAGATTTTTGTAAATATTTTATTATATCTTTTCATGTGACAACACTAAAGAAATGACACTCTGCTACAATGTAAAGTAGTAAGTGTACAGCCTGTATAACAGTGTAAATTTGCCCCTCAAAATAACTCAACACACAGCCATTAATGTTGAAACTGTTGGCAATGGAAAATGTCCAAATTGGGCCCAAAGTGTCAATATTTTGACAGCACTGCCTTAACCTTTATAGGCATGTAGTTCACCAGAGCTTCACAGGTTGCCACTGGAGTCCTCTTCCACTCCTCCACGACGACATCACAGAGCTGGTGGATGTTAGAGACCTTGAGCTCCCCCACCTTCCATTTGAGGATGCCCACAGATGCTCAATAGGATTTAGGTGTGGAGACATGCTTGGCCAATCCATCACCTTTACCTTCAACTTCTTTAGCAAGGCATTGGTTGTATAGAGGTGTGTTTGGGGTCGTTGCCCTGCAGCTCAGTCTCTGAAGGGAGGGAATCATGCTCTGGTTCAGTATGTCACAGTATATGTTGGCATTCATGGTTCCCTCAATGAACTGTAGCTCCCCAGTGCTGAGGATCGGCTGAGACTGTGAAGAAAGCATATCAGGGGCAGAGCCAGAACAAGTCAATCACAGACCTGACCAATCAGCATCTCCTCATAGCGATGCATTGAATCAATGCATCTCTGCGAGGAAAGCTCAGTGTCTCCATGCAGCACTGCCCCAGGAAGCACCATGAAGCACCTCTAGTAGCCATCTGAGGAGTGGCCAGTGGAGTTATCACTAGGCTGTAATATAAACACTGAATTTCTCTGAAAAGACAGTGTTTACTGCAAAAAGCCTGAAGGGAAGGATACTACTCAGCAGAACCATTACAATAAGCTGCTTTGTTCTGGTGACTATAGTGTCCCTTTAATAAAATAATGATAATTATATTGTATTATTTAGTAAAAAGGTTTTATTTACTATAACAAAAAGACAGAATATTCTAAATACATTCTGATTATTTCACCCAATCTGACACAGTATTACATGCCTTTAAATACAGATGTCCACATCTAGTACATAGAAGATTGATAAATAGCAACGCTGACAGACGCACCTAGGTATTTGTTTTGATAAATAGCAAACTGAAGTAAATTAAACAATTAATTCTACAATTTAGGGAAATATAGCAATGTTGTGACTTTTAATAGTTTTTTTTGTAAAATTGTTGCAATTCCATTTTCAATTCACTATAATTTGATATTTACTGAATAGACCATGCACAATTGAATAGAAACTGTGAATTGTCTGGACTTCACAAGGGTATTAAAAATTTAAGGCCAGCATAACCGATCTAGCAACACTGCTGAGTTGAATACATTTTCCAATGTTACTGAACTTTGCAGGTCCCTTGTGAATTCTAGACACCGTTCCATGACTAACCCGGTCAGTGGTCATCTGTGTGTTTGGAAGCAAAATTATAGGAATGGTATAAAACTAACTAAAAGCTCAGCAAGATCTAATGAGGATACTTAATATAAAATATGTGTATTCTGTCTATCATAAAGCTCATGCAACAGTTGCTTACAAATGTGGATCTAAATGTCATTGGGCATTTAAGGTGTATGGCTGAATTGTTTCAGCTTTCAATGGAAATGTTAACTATATCACTTCGGAAATTTGAAATCAATGATTCTAACATACAGGGCTAGCAAAACGAATTGTATTATATTCTGTTTTCTGTTTTTCAAATTAAAGAAGTCATCATCAGAAATGGTCTATTTATCATTATATAGCACTTTAAAAACTAAAGCCTATAAGGGGAGTTAATTATTTTTAACTGTTCAGCAATTTATTTATTTGTTTTAATTAGCAGATTATTTCATTAAGTGAGCTCATCTCTGCATTAGGGATTTTAGGGATACAGAGCAGAATTCTTTTTCCTCATGTTATGGAATTCTGAATATAGAAATGTGACTCTGGA